CGTGGGCTACAAAAAGAAGGCTAAGGCCCTCAGAGTCCTCCCGTCTAGAAAAGCCTCCAAAAGAGTATTCTACTCCTCCGCAGGCTTGGGGGCTACTGTCGGATATCGATATTAGGGATACCCAAAGCAAGGAAGTTAGCGCTTACGCTGACTTTCCCGGATGGCTCGAGACGTATTAAAAGGTCTCGCCCGACCCCAAGGCCACGGGCTCCGTCTTGCCCGACCCCCAGGACGCGGTTTCCGTCTCGCCCGACCTCGGGCTCCGTCTTGCCCAACCTCAAGGACGCGAGCTCCGTCTCGCTCGACCTTGAGGCCGTGGGCTCCGTCTCGTCCGACCCCAAGGACGCAGGTTTTATCTCACCCGACCCCTTAGGTGCGGGCTCTGTCTCGCCCAAGGTCGTAGGCTCCATCTCACTCGACCTCAAGAACGCGGGTTCCATCTTGTCTGACGGGGACCCATACCGCCGCCAACCACTCTAGGTCCAAGCGTATGGGCCTGGGTCAAAACTCTGACGCCAGGGAAGAGGCTGACATGGCTCGATGTAACCCGTGGCCATGACGGGTTATACCTGGGGATTCACATCAAGAACAGTGTCGGATGTGCCGGTGTTGTTCTGCCTAATCCTCGTACGGACACTGATAGGCGCGTCAGTTCACCACGACGTCCGCCAGGACGGAGTGGAATGCTATGATCGGAAGATGACGCCGCGCATGGCGCTAGTGACGAACAGGGCCGCGACATGGAGCCGTCCCTGTTGACATTTACAGGATTAGTGGGACCCGCGTGAAGGAGAAGGACCCGGCAACCCTGGAAGCCTTCTTCTCTATCTCGTTCTTCTCCTTTTCCTCCACTGTGACATGCGCTTTCGCTTCGTCTATAAAAGGGGAAGCAGGGCGCCTCATGGAGGGGGGGGGGGCGAAAAAACATGAGATCTGAACACAAGAGCACGACACGAGCACATAGCTGAGCGACAATCGAGCTCTAAGCACCTATTCACGCCTTCCACCAGAGACTTGGGATCCTCTCCCTCTCTCGCCTGTTTGTAACCCCTACTACAAACCAAGTGCTGGTAACACGAGCAGTAGCGAATTGGACGTAGGGACGTTCTGCCCGAAGCAGTATAAACCCTTGTGTCCTCCGAGCACACTATCCGAGCCAGATGCGCAAATACAAATTTACTCGTCGGTGGTCCGAAAACACTGACAGACATGTTCCCGTACAACGCACGGGCATTTATCTAGTAAAGAAAAAAGTATCCATCTCCAATTTCAATACATAATGGTTATGTTTGAATCCTGCAATGGAGCTTCTAAAAAATCATTTTGATTTATTTTTCTCAGTTTTATGAACCCGACTGCTCTTTATCTATTGCTTTATATTTTTTATTTGTTGTGTCAAAAGTAAAGTTTTGATTTGGAACTCTCTCTCTCTTTTATAATTTTATTATATGATGTTTTATCACATTGCCTTTTTTACTAGTATGATGTAATTCATAGACCATACACATGGGAATCCTATATCTTTTTTATTCCTAAGAGTGGGCAAAAAACTCGATACCCAATATCCGAACTTGAACTACAGAATCACAATTTCGGATAGTAGCTCTAGGTACCCGAAATTTAGTTCAGGTATTTCGGGTAATGAGTTCCGGTACCCAAGTTATCCATTTATACCGGAATCTCCTACAACTAAAAAGAACAAAGCGTGGACATCTTTTGGTGCGACATTTGTTTTAGTTCGTCCGTCTGCCCACCCCGTGTGATACCCCGCGCGATAGAAAAAGAAACTGCCATTCCTACGATCCCCGCCTGCTTTGAAGGAAACAAATCGATTAGCTGAGGCCACATGCATGGAAGAAAACAAATAATCATGCATGGAAGAAAACAATCATGTATGGAAGGAAACAATAATCATGCATGGAAGAAAACAATAATCATGCATGGAAGGAAACAATCATGCATGGAAGGAAACAATAATCATTTACTCTTTTTTCAAATAGTGGTCTCCATTTCGGAGCCCTTCATGCAGTTTAATAATGGCTGGGGAGCTAGGCTTGCGAGAACTATAAAAATTTGTTGCTTTGGCATGTCTTGGTTGAGTTCTACAATTGCCAAAAAATGATGTAGTACTTCAATGGGTGTCTTGGTTGAGTTCTATAATTGCCAAAAATTGATGGTGCTGATAAGATTGACAATCCTGTAACTCTGTAGTACCTTTCTTTTTTTTCAAAAAAAGGAGAGCAAATGCTACTTATGGTCGAATCCATGTTCTTTTTATTGTTTTGATTTGATGCCCACAGCCCACAACCCACATATTAACTTTCAGATGTGTTTATAAAGAATCAAAAGGAGTTGGTCTAATGCCAATCTTTCTTGTCGTCTTTTTTCATTCTTTATATCTATACTAGGTAGCGTGTCCGTGCATTGCTACGGGATAACTAATAATTTATACTAAAATTAAATACCAACGTTAAAGTGACATTTAATCAAAAAGCAAAGTTTATGAATTTAACACAGTCACGAAGTGCGCGGCGTCGTAGGCTCACAAACTCTATTTTTTAGACCTTTTCATGATGCGGCTAAGATAATGTTTTATATTGACAGGAAGAAATCTCCGATATCCATTTCTTTCATTGTAATCCATTTATCTGGACAATGTTTGAGGTGAGGACACGGTTACAGTTTTTAGTAGCTCTGCGATATTGTCCGAAGCTATAAGATGATTGATGTCTTGCAATGATCCTTTCATTAATTTAGTTTTCTATCTATGCTTAATTGTTTATTCAGTCTATTTTAAAGGCACGTCGGTAGATAATGGATGACAAAATTCAAGCATCCATAGTTTATCTCTTTGACTTTGAGCATGAGTTTTGTTTTTATTTTTTAATTGATATATTGTCCTTTTATTTTTACCATAGCGTTAGCACGGGCATGCATGAAAAACGAAGATGTCTTTACACTGCAGAAATCTTTCAAGAAGATCATGCATAGATTATTCTTGTATTGAATATTATATATATACAATTACCTAAATATTCTAATTAGACTACACAATTTTGAATTAGGATACGAGGTAAGACATGCAAACAGATATTTCAAAACTACCTGTAGAGTCCAAAGAACTTAATAAATAAATCTTTCTAGAGACAATGCAAATTCTCTCTAATCTTTCATTTGGTGTAGTTAGTATTATCATAGTACCCGCATGTATTCTTGGAAAATAAATTATGGACAAAATGTGGACACTTTTTGGTGCGACATTTCAACATGGGTCCATCGTCCTGCCAATATCCTTGAGTCTAGTCACATAAAGAATGAGAGTACCTTTATGAGATTGCTCACAAGAGACTCAAACTTATATTTGATCATAGTAATGTTGAATTGCTTTGTATCAAAAGTATTGGCAATGATAAACGGGGATATAGGTTTTAGTATGCATAGTGGAGGAAAACTCAACCTTGGTCTTCTCAGCAGTTTTTCTGAGCCTTTACAGTGCTAACTTGTCCTTACTCAGATAGTCAAGAGGTGCATCATAAAATTATGCACCATTAAGAAAAATGTCACCATTGGTTGCCTTAACCCTGAAAAATATGCCGAAATTAAGAATTACAACACCTAAGTCAACATCTTGGAACAGACACTCAAGTGGATACCTTATTCTACAATATATGTCTGTGTGGAATAGACCTAAAGCCACACATATTTATACAGTGAGTATAACATATTTTGTTTTAAAATTTTATGAGAGATTTTTTAAGACACGCAGTATTATTCATGTGACAGACACTAATATTTACATATATACTCGAACCAGTGTGTACAGGATTATATGGAGATGCAACGAAACTTATTTATGGATTTATTGGCGCATGAAAGAAATGGATATCGGAGAATTCTTTCTGCCGATATAAAATATTATCGTAGTCATATCACGAAAAATTCTATACAGTAGAGTTTGTGAGCCTGCGACGCCGCGCTCTCCGTGACTGTGTTAATTTCACGAACTTTGCCTTTTGAATTAAATATCACTTTAACGTCGGTATTTAATTTAACAGTATTGTTATCTTATCGTGCGATCCGTATATTTTTAGTATAAAAGATTTAGTTGTCTCATAGTAACGTACGGGCACGCTCCCTAGTTTAAACTAAAAAGTCTAGGGGAATTAGAGCAGAAGAGCCACGGCCCAGCCCACCTAGCGCTAGGCTGTCCCTCCACTCGCCACTCACGGACTCACCCGAGCCCAACCCCCTCAAAACCTAGCGCCTGATGCCTCCATCTCCCGATGCCGCCGCATCCATCCCAACCGACGGGCGCGCTGGGCGGCTGCTATCCTGGCCTCTGCACTCACCCAGCGACGCCGCCCTCAACCGCTGGTGCGCGCCGCTGTCTGAAGTTCTGAACTTCTGAATCAGGCTCCTTTCGGCTTTCCTCTCACTTGTCTTCTCTCCGTTGTCTGCGCTCACAAAATCTCCGTAACGAGGCATCGGAGTGGGGAGTCGGTGGCCGGATGCTGTGTGTGACTGTTGTCCATGTGAGTAGCCCATCAGAATCCTCTACTTCTTCATTAGACACATGTCCGTCTCCTGAGTGGATTGTGATGGGCCATAATCATGACATTAGGCCATAGATCAATTATATTTCTCCTTATTACAATCCGGCCCATAAGGCGATATCATAAAGCCCAACTCCACTTCCCGTTTCTTCTTGCGCGTGCGGGGGTACGGTGTTCTTCCGTTCGAGTAGTAGCCGCCGCCGGTCTCGCGGCTCGCTCTCCGCGCGTGGCCGCCGGTTCCGCGGCTCCCTCCTCCGCGCGTGGCTGTGGCGCCGTGGCTCTCTGTCCTTAGCGCGCCTGCTCTTCCCGTCGACAGCTCAGACCTCCGCACCCACCGCCGCCAAAAGCATCCCCATCCTCTGTCGCGTCCGCAATCGCCTCTGCGGCTACCAGCCGGACTCCCCAAGCCTCGTGCTTAGCGCCCCGCCCCACCCCCCCTCGCCGGTGATGGCCGCGGCCCCGCCGGGAGCCGGAGAAGATATTAAAGACGCCGTTGAGGTGTGCCTGTTCGATGAATCAGCAGATGGGTTCTTGAGAACTGTGCGCGCCATCTCGGAGCTCGTCGACAAAGAGCCCGAACCAGACTTCCCTGAGGCGGAAGTTGAGCAGCTCTCCTCCTCAATAACGTTCCTCAGGTAAAAATCTGTCTCCTGGTTTCCTCTGGTCTCGCACTCAGTCACCATGATGGAATTGGCAAATTTCCTGTGCCAGCCTGATGGGTGATCGTAGACGTGATCCTATATAGAGACATGTGCTCGATTTTCATGGAGTGTATTACATGGAATATATCATAAATATGTGGGAGAATTTGTTTAACTCTTGTAGCTTCGGAATATATGTTGTCCACAAGAGTGACTAGTTATCAAATTGCGATAATATTCATGATTTATTGGTTTAGTTAATGGTCTACCTGTCCTTCCTCGAATATCCACAAGATCCGCAAAATGTGAAAAGATATAGGAGTCACATTTGATTTTTCCTTTCTTTCTTAATGGCCTGTTTTTCAGATATATGTTTTTGCTTTTTCTTATAATATTATCTGCAAATATATATAATTTGCTGCTCATTTGATCTTTGTCTTCAGAGAATGGAGGCACTTCTCTTATGAGCCAAAAAGTGTAACTTTCACTAATGGCACTGATTCAACTTCATCTAGAGATGACATGCACAGTGTAACCTTACCACAGTTTTCATCTGCTTCTGTTCCCCAGGTTAGTGAAAGTAAACTTAATAGTGTTTTAGTTTCTGAGCCCAGTCTTTGTATTTTTTTTAGGAGAGTTAAGCATTGTTTTTCAGCTGAATAGGATTCCTCTCTGATACTCTTTCCCCTTGGGTTTGTAACTGTGGAAATCATTACAGATCACACCTCAGGAAGACCGGAGGGATAATACAGTCAGGTGCGCAATCCCTCCTCTCCCTCTGCATGGGGGAAAGCAGTCATTGCTGTGGAGCATGTGTTTAATAGCCCAAGCTGTCGTATTATCTTAACATTTCTTATTTATATTCAAGGTTGTTATACACGGATCACTAATTAGACAAATTGTTATAATAACCGTTTCATGTTGAAAGTCTTTTGTTTTTTCTAGAGAAGTATGCCAAAGATTCCCTTGGTCCAGAACAATAATCTTGTTGAGTCCTGCAACATGCCTTATGATCTACTCTAACGTGTGGGTAGCTGAATCATGAAACTATTCATCTTTTCAAGAGTGCCAAATTCTTCAATATCCTGAAGACAATAGTTCTAATTGTTTATTGGTTTGCACCATTGATGATTTTACTTTGTTATTAGGTATAAATTTGAGAGTGTGATGAAGTTGGGAATAAATACGCTATTAAAATCAGTCTTCTGCTCTCTTTAATTTATTTCTGATACTTGATTATCCATGTAAAATTATATTACTATCTTGATCGAACCTTGACCAAGTGTCTTCAATTATTGCAGCTTTGATTTTATTCTATATGCGGGGGGGAATGTCTGGGCCTTGGACTGGTGCCCTAGGTTGTGCGACAAGCCTGACTCTTCTATAAACTGTGAGGTTGTGACCTTTATAACCATGAACTTTGTAGAAACAACCCTACACTGTCCAGTCAGAAATATGTGGTGTTTTGGGATTGTTTGATGTCAACTATTCTAAACTTCTGCTACTACTTTTATTAAACTATTGTCCAAGACAAATGTACTCGTATCACTTGCAAACATTCAAACTAAACACATTAATTGTAGGCAAAGTTCGGGATTGTTGTTTTCAGTTACCTCAAAACACCATTTATTTATGACTGGAGAAAGTATTGTCATTTCCTAGGTCCCCGAAATGATTTACTTGCTGTATATATTCTGTACAAATCCTCCATACAACAATTTAAGTCTATATGGTTTCCTAGTATTGGATTTCTCACCCAAGTGATTTCTTAAATAAGATAGTCACCTCTCTCCTCTTTAATTGCTTATTACTATGCCACCAGAAAATCCTATGTCGCACGTGATAAATGTGCATGTTACTACCCATTGGGTTTTTTAATAATTTACTGAAGTGCAAGCTTTTGGGTTGGGTTTTTAATTTACTGAAGTGCAAGCTTTTGGGTGCCATGTATTTGTAAACCCTATGCAACTGTTTTGACTCTATCTTTGTTCTCTGGATGATTATATGGTTGCACCTATATACTTTTTGTCCATAGCAGTTATGCTAATATCCTGTTTTCATTTTAGTCCTTATTGCAAGAGTACTGTGAACTTATAAGTAACATAACACAAAAGGTTAATTGGCGCTCATGATCCTATGTCACATACTCATATATTTTATCCTTTGCAGTATCTTGCTGTTTCTGCGCACCCTCCTGGTTCTTCTTACCATAAACTTGGCATGCCCTTAACTGGGAGAGGTATCATTCAAGTTTGGTGTCTGTTAGCACCATTTGAAGATGCACATTCTCGCCGGTCAATGAATGTATGCAATAATAGTAATCGAAGAGGAAGGCCTAGAAAGATACCTTGTAGTGATAAGCTGGAACCTGTTCCAAAAGGACCAAGGGGGAGGCCAAAAAAGAGACCTTGCAGTGATCAGTTAGAACCTGTTCCAAAAAGACCAAGGGGCAGACCAAGAAAGTATCCATTGCCAGATGCAAAATTTGAAGGTTCATCCCCAAACGGGGAAAGTCAGGATATCATTGTTTTTGATCCCCTTTGTACTTCAAGTGTTATTCCAGATGACCTTCCATTGGCTTATGTCATGCCAACTGCGAAGTCTGTGCAATCAACTCCTAAAAGAGGTAGAGGGCGACCTAGGAAAAACCCAAGTGACAAACTGACACTCTCATCCGGTATTGTATCAGAAGATGTGTGTACAGCCCCACCTCCAACAACTGCAATCTGTACAAAGCCTAAGAGACCACGGGGGAGGCCTCGAAAATATCCAATTCCAATGAATGGTGGATCTGTTTCAGGCGCTGATGTTGAATTAGGGAAAGAGACAACTTGTCAGCCTGCTTCATTTGGCTGCAGTTTGGACCACACTGCTTGCACAGAGTTTAATGCTAATTTAAGTATTGTTGCAGTTGATGCAGCATTGCCGCTTATTGACAAACTGACCTGTTCATCTGGCACTGTATCAGGAGATGTGTGTACAGCCCCATCTCCAACAACTGCAATCTGTACAAAACCTAAGAAACCACGGGGAAGACCTCGAAAGTATCCAGTTCCAATCAATGCTAGATCTGTATCTGGCACTGTATCAGGAGATGTGTGTACAGCCCTATCTCCAACAACTGCAATCTGTACAAAACCTAAGAAACCACGGGGGAGACCTCGAAAGTATCCAGTTCCAATCAATGGTAGATCTGTTTCAGGCACTGATGCTGAATTAGGGCAAGAGACAATTTGTCAGCCTGTTTCATTTGACTGTAGCTTGGACCACACTGTTTGCACAGAGTTTAATGCTAATTTAAGTATTGTTCCAGTTGATGCAGCATTGCCAATTGTTGACGAACTGTGCAGTTCATCTGGTGCTGTAGTAAAAGAAAGTGTGTGTACTGAACCATCTCCAGCAACTGCAACTCGTAAGCAACCAACGAGAACACGGGTGAGGCCTCGAAAGTACTCAGACACTATGATTGAACTGGGGAAAGATACAACTGGTCAGCCTGATTTATCCAGTATGGGTCACACTGCTTGCACAGAGGCTAACTCTAGTTTTAGCATTGTTGCAGTTGATGCATCATCACCATTTACATCTTCATCTACTGCAACTTGTGATAATAAGTCAAAAGGTCAGAGGATTAGAGGAAATGATAAGAAGAAAACAATTTCTAATGCTCTATATTGCCCAGTGGTTTCTGGTGTTGAATCACAGAGAATTTGTTCCACAGAAATTCTTCCAAATGATCCTGCAGTCTCTGTTGAAAATGCTTTGCCAACTGCACAGAACGTGGTATCAATGAATGAGCTTTGTTCTGCTAGCTTGTTAAACTGTGAGGGTAATGCGTGCAAAGGTGCTCTTTCAGATGATTCTGTACTTCCCATCCACATTTCACCTAAATCAAGTAATAAAAGAGAGTCAAGTGGCAGGAGGGGAAGAGGAAGGCCTAAAAAGATACCACTTTCTGCTGGAACTGGTCGTTTTGTGGCTTCTGGTGCCAGCCTCCCAAAAACAACCTCTGTACTGACTAGTTCTAACAATCTCACATCTTTGAACAAGAGTGGTGGCAAATTTATAGTAAGTAGCCTTGGTTCATGTGGGTGTGATATTGAGAAATGCAGTGTTCATTCAGGTGTTTTGTTATCTGATGATGCATCACCAGCACATGGCTTACACAATGCAAATTGTAAGGAAGAATCAAATACCAAAATAGGAAAAGGGGGATGTAGAAAGAAGCCTGTTTCAGCTGAGCACAGTCATTTAACTGATTTTAATGTCAAAGAACAAAAAATGCAGACAACTCCAAAGTCAGGCGATCCTGTGGTCTTGGTTGAAAATTGTATGGAAGGACAAGGCCCCAGAAAGGCTGGGGGGCAACTTCAAAGGATACCTGCTTCAAATGAGAGGAGTGGCACATCTGTTGGTGGTGAAACACATAAAATAGAGACATTATCCACACCAATGACTAAAGGATCATCTAAAAATGATGACATGGCTCATGGGGCTGGTTTGAATCAGTCTAAGAATGCAATTGTTGGTTGCAGAGGCATGAAAGTTACTGAAAGCAACACTGCCAATTATACTTCTCATTGTAATGAAAATGCACGAGCAAATCAAGTTGCACCTAGTTTCAAGAACAGTGACAGGGTCATTGATGAAACGGAAGCTGCGGAATTTGTGCCACTCAAGGAATCAAGGGAAGATGACAGTATGTTTAGTTGTGTAAACTCAAACTCATCTTCATTTACAAGGGGCATTGCTCAACCAAGAGTTGTCTTATGTTTAGCTCACAACGGCAAAGTTGCTTGGGACATCAAATGGAAGCCTCCTTTACTAAGTCAACCTGAACAGAAATCACGACTGGGTTTCCTTGCAGTATTGTTGGGGAATGGCACTCTTGAAGTGTAAGTTGGGCAACCTATTGCTATGCTAGAACTTCTTTTTAATAAATCATCACTCACATACTTCATTGTTTGTACACAGGTGGGAAGTTCCATCACCATGCATGATCCAGAAAATATATTCCCCCTCTAAGGTGGAGGGTTCTGACCCTCGTTTTCTAAAGCTACAACCTGTATTTAGGTGTGTCAAAGTGAAGTGCAGGAACAGGCAAAGGTACTGTGACTTCAAAGTTTTAGCATGTGATTGATACTTTTGCTTATAGAGCTAGATTTAGGTTTTTTACTTTCTGCTATATTCGTCAGCATGAATATTCTTTTTGAAGTCATGACCTCTTTATAATGGTAAACAGCATTCCCTTGACAGTTGATTGGTCACCTTCTCCTCCTCATGATATGATATTGGCGGGTTGTCATGATGGAACGGTATATTTTCCTCTTGATGAGAATAGTTTCCTTAACTCAAACCCCATGTCTTTCAACTTTTATTTTAAGTTGCTAGTCTAAAAGTTTAATGTTGTATTTGATGTTTCAGGTTGCTTTAATGTTGTATTTGATGTTTCAGGTTGCTTTAATGTTATATTTGATGTTTCAGGTTGCTTTAATGCTATATTTGATGTTTCAGGTTGCTTTATGGAACTTCTCGATGAATTTGCCAACACAAGGTAATAGATACCTTCCCTTTCGAAGCCTCTCTATTACTGATATTTGGAAAACATGATTAGTCACTTTTCCTTTTTTTTATCGTATAAAGCTATTGAATTCATGTACTGCATATTTATCATTTTATTTTGATTAAAATTAACCAATTTTTCCACTGAGTGTCCAGATTCAAAACCTTTTATGTGTGTCACTGCTGATTCTGTTCCCATTAGAGCTCTCTCTTGGGCACCATATATAAGGTACTGTGCAGCATTGTTCTTCTCCACCACTTAAAAGTAATGCCAGCCCTAAACTTGTATCCATTTAACAGTGAAGAAAGCACAAATACCTTTGTCACTGCTGGAGAGGATGGTCTAAAGTTCTGGGATTTAAGGTATGTGTAACATATCCTCGGGGGCTTATCTCAACTCATCTTTTTAATGCCTCTGATTCTATGAATAAAAACATTTCAGTACATATTTAAGACCCATGTCCATCTTCATTCGTCCTTTTTGTGGTGTTGAGGTGAACAAGTAAAAATACATCCAATCTATATAATATGCTATTCTCAAAAGAAGTATGCTGTTTATAAGAATGGACACAGCTTCTGCACACAGGCTGTACTAGATCCAACTAAGATTCACATCTCCCGCTTCACTTCAGTTCACCATGCCCTCCTGAATCTCCAGTCTTCTTTCCACGTGTTCATGCTGATGGTAGTGAAGAGCAGCCACCTTCAAAGCTTCCGCCCCTTGCTCCAACTAAGCAGCGTGGCCTGGTTTCTGTAAACCTGTCCAATAAGATAAGAAAGAACAGACCATGCGAACCATCTCAGTAGGTGATTACCTTTTCCTTCAAAGCATACATCTTTTCTTGCTTTTTCCATAGTGCCCAACCAGTGGCGAAGCTATATGCATTGCTGTGGGTGCGGATGCACCCAAGAAAAAATGGAATACCAGTGAGTAGGATCAAATTTTCACCATGGTTGCGGCTCATGTCTACGCATCTACAAGACAGGCGCACCCCCCTCTAGTTTGCTCCAGCTTCACCACTGTGCCCAACATACAGCCGTAAGGCTAACCAAATGAAAATGTTTACTGCTCGGCAGACAGGCCTACAAGAAAATCCCAAGACGTGGGTGACTTAGGCTCCAAACAATCTTATGTGTGTCACTTTGCCCTTCCTGATCACTTTGTGTGAAGGTCCAGCATCACTACTTGTGAGAGCATTATATAATGATTTCACAGAGAATTTACAATTCTTTTCAAGTTTCCACAAGATGATGTCATCTGACTCCGAGATCTCAGCATTATGAACATCAGATAGGATCATATCCCAGCATGTTTGCAATTCACTAGTAAGCCATCTTCTAAATGATATGAGGACCCTCCCACTTTTCACATCAGCTACAGAAGCATCGTTTTGCTCACACAGGATAAAGAGGACAGGAGCAATGTTATGAATGGGCTTATCATATAACCATGGATCAGACCAAAATCTGGTCTTCTGTCCATTGTTCATTCTAATGGATCTACCTTGAAGATACAACTCCTTGACCTTGAGCAGGTCAGACCAGATAGCAGAATCAGTATTCTTATGAGAAACAGAGAAGATGGTCTTATTTTTTAAATATTTAGCTTTAACAATTTCTTGCCACAATCCTTCTTCTTGTTCCAGCTTCCACCACCATTTTGACAGAAGACTTACATTCATTTTTCTCAGATTTTTAATTCCCAGCCCTCCCTTCTTACTTTTACAAATTTTTGCCCATTTAACCAAGTGGTATTTCCTCTTGGTCCCTCCTCCTTGCCAAAAGAAAGTTCTAATTTTACCAATTTTGTCAGAAATTGTCTTTGGGGCCAGATAAACAGACATTTGATAAATGGGTGAGTTATTCAAGCAAGCACAGATGAGAGAAGTTGTTATGACCGGCGTCTATTATAATAGGCGCAGGCCCATTAGTGGCTAGAGGAGGACGCCGGTTATAGGGGCTAAGAGCCCATATTATTATTATTAGCTATTTATGGTATTTGTTCCTTAATTATAGGATCCTAGAGAGGATAAAGACTCTGTAAACAATTGAGATTGGAATTAAGCAGAAGCAACATAATTGTTGCCGGCTTCCCTTGGGAGCCCTAGCCGCACCTTCTCTTCTTCCTTGCGCTGTGATCACCACGGCGCCAACCCGCCGCCGCTGCCCTAAGCCTCGCCCTCCGCTCTTCCATCCCTACAACCTTCGCAGCAACTCCGGTAGGGCATCTAGTCCTATCAATCTGGTATCAGAGATGTCAGGCCCTCTTTCCACCTCCACCAGCCCACCGCCGCCACCGCCAATCACCACTGCTGCGCAGCTGCTGCCATCCACTTCGGCGGCCGCTCCGTCCTCTACAATGTCGATGCAACAGATGACCGCGGCCATCCACGAGTTGTCCCATTCCATGGCCGCGATGCAGTCCTACCTCTCCTCGCAGCAGCCGCTGCCCTCCCCACCGCACCCACTACCGCCGCCGCAATCGGCCATGGCCTCCCTGCCGCCGGTGTTTCCTGCTGGGATCCCCCAGTCCAGCGCAACCAGCGTGCCCATCCATCTACCGCAGATGCCGCCCTCCCCGTCGCCGATCCCATCTTATGCCCTGGCCCCGACGGTCGGGCCGGTGTATATGATGGCAACGTTTCCGGCGACCACGACGTTGGCTGCCCCAGCCCCTACCACAGGCGCCCTGATCCACTACGGTGGGGCGGCACAACAGCCCTCCTACACCGAGGGGGTTTTCTATGGAGGCGTTGATGGCCCTCTACTCTACGGCGGCAACATGCAGCACCACCACGGCGCCTCGTCGTCCGCGGCCTTTGCTCCAGAACCAGCAACTCCGGGTGTCAGCCACAGCGCTCACCCTCCGTGCTTCTACAAGTTGGAGTTCCCCACATACGATGGCGCCGAGTATCCCCTCAATTGGCTCAATCATTGTGACCAGTTCTTCCGCGGGCAGCGTACCCTGGCCTCAGACCGCACTTGGCTCGCGTCGTACCATCTCACCGGCGCGGCCCAAACATGGTACTACGCCCTCGAGCAAGACGAGGGCATGCCTACATGGGATCGTTTCAAGGAGCTGTGCAATCTGCAATTTGGGCCGGCTGTTCGTGGGACACGTTTATCCGAACTTGCTCGCCTGCCCTTCACCTCCACGGTACAGGACTACTCCGAACGCTTCAATGCGGTGCTCTGTCATGCTCGGAACCTCTCCGCGTCCCAGAAGGCGGAGTTGTTCATGGGCGGCCTTCCGGAGCACATTAAGGTCGACGTGGAGCTGCGGGAGCCCCAGAACCTCCAAACGGCCATGTATTTGGCCAGGGCCTTTGAACGCCGCGCCGCTGCCACGACGCCGGCCACTCCTTAGCGTGGTGCCCGGCCTCCTCAGCGCCTGGGCATCCCAGCACCGCCACGGCCTGCTGCAGCAGTACCAGCAGCCCCGGGGGCGACCACAACTCAAGCACCAGCGGGCGCTGCAGCCCTTGCACGTCCTTTCCGCCGACTGTCCCCAGCGGAGCAATTGGAGCGCCGCCGCCAAGGTCTTTGCTACAATTGTGATGAGCCCTATGTGCGCGGTCATGTGTGCCAGCGCCTATTCTACCTCGAAGCGGCGGATTTCCTAGACGATGACATACCAGCGGAGGTGGCCGCTGTGGCTGCTTTTCCGGAGGAGGTTGCTGTGCTTGCGCCTGCACTGCAGCCCAGCCTCAGGTGTCCCTCTACGCCATTGCCGGCATCCGGACCGAGAATGCTATGCTCCTTCCAGTCTCCGTACATGGCCACCGGCTTGTGGCGCTCCTCGACTCGCACAACTTCATCAACGCTGATCTCCTACGACGCCTACACCTCTCTACAGCACCGCACCCTACCATGCGGGTACTGGTGGCCAACGGCAATCGTGTGCCTTGCGAAGGCGTCACCCGGGATGTGGCCCTGGCCATTGGTACAGAGTTCACCATCAGCTGCTATGGCATCAGCCTGGGAGGTTTTGATCTTATTCTTGGCGTCGAGTTCCTACGTACCCTGGGCCCTATCCTCTGTGATTTCGAGGATTTGTGCATGGCTTTCACACGGGGCGCCCGACGCATTCTGTGGAAGGGCCTGGGGTCCCCCCGCGACGACATCCGGGAACCGGCTACGCGGACGATCGCCGCTGCTCCCTCCCAACCACTACTGGACCGGCTCCTGGAGCAGTTTGAGCCGGTCTTCGTCGAGCCACAGGGGCTCCCTCCGATGCGGCTGTATGATCACCGCATCCATTTGCTGCCAGGTACAGTTCCGGTCGCCGTTCGCCCCTATCGCTACCCACAGTTGCAGAAGGACGAGTTGGAGCGTCAGTGCGCTGCTATGCTCGCCCAAGGCATCATCCGGCCGAGCACGTCCCCGTTCTCCGCCCCCGTGCTGCTCGTGCGCAAGGCGGACAACTCCTGGCGCTTTTGCATCGACTATCGGGCCCTCAACGCCAAGACGTCCAAGGACAAATTCCCGATTCCGGTCGTCAATGAGCTTCTCGACGAGCTTCACGGGGCTCGCTTCTTCACCAAGCTCGATTTGCGCTCGGGCTACCACCAAGTGTGGATGCACCCCGATGACATCGCCAAGACGGCGTTCCGCACTCACCATGGCCATTTTGAGTTCCTGGTTATGCCGTTCGGCCTTTCCAACGCACTGGCGACTTTCCAGGCTTTGATGAACGACGTGCTCCGCCCCTTTTTGCGCAGGTTCGTGCTTGTGTTTTTTGACGACATACTCATATATAGTGCCTCCTGGGCCGAACACCTGCAGCACCTCAGCATCGTCCTCCAAGCACTTCGGGCGAACCAGCTCCACCTCAAGCGTTCCAAGTGTTCTTTTGGGGCGTCATCGGTGGCCTACCTTGGCCACGTGATATCAGCAAGCGGCGTCGCTATGGACGCCGACAAGGTGGCCGGCCCCTCGCTCCGCCCGTGGGCTGCGGGGATTCTTGGGCCTCGCCGGCTACTACAGGAAGTTCATCCGCGACTTCGGCCTCATCGCTGCGCCACTGACGCGCCTCCTGCGGAAGGATGCATTCGCCTGGGACAACGAGGCGGATGCGGCGTTTCAGGCACTCAAGGGTGCCATGTCCACGGGACCCGTCCTCCAAATGCCCGACTTCGACAAGCAATTTGTGGTGGACTGTGACGCATCAGGCGCGGGGTTCGGCGCTGTTCTCCATCAAGAAGCTGGACCCCTCGCTTTCTTCAGCCGGCCCTTCGCTGCTCGCCATCTCAAGCTCGCTGCCTACGAACGCGAGCTGATTGGGCTGGTTCAGGCTGTACGTCATTGGCGACCATACCTATGGGGGCGTCATTTTCTTGTTCGTACAGATCACTACAGACTCA